CTTTTTAGAGAATTTAAGGATAAATTGGGAGAGTGTTAGAAAAATCCTTACAACGCATCCAGAAGGCAATTGTTTGAAGGGGGAAGTTACAAGACCTTGGTCACACCGTAACTCAGGGCCTCTTTTTTTCTCAGGGCACTCAAAATTATTCTAGAGTTGGAGGAATGTCCAGGATCCATGGGGTCAGATATTGTCAGTTGTCTTACCCAAAACCCTTTTGAATCTTATGAAGTTTACATATCAATTAGTAAATGAACAAAACATCAGCGTTTTATTCCTCTTGATTTTTGTGTTAAAGATCACACACAAAACTGAAATGAAAGACTGATAGATTTGGATGCATATGAGTGCACTTGCATTTATTTAGAAATTGTATGCCAAGTAAGACTTTGTATATGTTTAAAACAAACTTCAGCATCGTTTAAGTTTTAAAAGGACAATTTCTTTAACTTTAGCTCATAGAATTTAATCAAGAAAATGATTTGCTGTGGGAAGAGAGAATTCGTGAGAGAACAACTATTACTGAATTAACCCAGGTAATCCATTGAAATGTATAGTTTCATAAATTTATACATCTGAGAAACATTTTGCGTGGAAAACAGCGTCACAGACAGGCTTGTGATCATCTCTATCAGAGTTGAAAAGATGACATCAAGGTTTGACCTGAAAGTACAACACTAGAGTTGTGTTTAATGGCAACTAACAGTAAAGTGTGCATAAGTAGATGTGGCGTTTTTCCTTCTACCATCCTCCCTGCAAAGTTTTTTACCACTCTTAATTTCTTGGATAGTGACTCCTCCAGATCATCAACTTAGCTAGTTTTTAAATCTAGTCCAATACCAGATCTTTAAACTGAATCCTGGTTACCTTCACAGGTTGTGTTTCAAGTCTGGACCCCACTGGCCCCTTTGCCCTACAAACACACACACACACATATACACACATTCTGTTTTCATTCCCCAAGTATTTCTGTTACAATAGTTTGATAAATGCAGAGGGACCAGCAGTTGGCATAATGACTATGTCACTGAACTCTCATGTAGTCGACCACAGTTTGAGTCCTGGACCCAGTGGCTTAAACTCACACCAGACCCTTGTACATGCATTCCCAAGATCCTGAGAGGAGAATGGAGGAGAAAGGATTGCGGCGTGGCCATCCCCCCCGGAGGGGTGATTACTCGCTTTCTGTCTCTGTATCTCTCTGTCTTTTTGGCGAGCGCACGCACCCTATAGCTAAAACCTCCAAAAAAGGAAAAAAAAACACACACACGATAGTTTGATAAATGCATCTATCAATAATTTATCCTAATAGGAATGGGTTAGACATGTTCTCCAAGACCCAGTACCTATCCCTATAAATAAAAGGGCTTCATATGGTCTAGTGGAAATAGTTTCCCCTTCTCTGCTATTTTGTTGTGATGTTACCTAAAAGAATTCTTGTGGTACAGAGAATATCGACTTGAAAGTACAGCAAAACAGGTTGAGGGAAAATTCTTGAGAACATGAAATGCTTTCTTGAATATGACCATTAAGGGCCCTCTCTTACCTGTACAAGGAGCCCTGGTTCTGTAGTTTCAGAAGTTTGAAGTGTTTTTTAAATACTTGGCAGTTTTCTACCTTGATAGCAACATGTATAGTACTATAAAGAACTTTGTAAACTAGAGTGCCCCTTCACCACCACCACCCCAACAACAAATTCTCATTTCCCAGAGATAAGCACTGTTAATAGTTTAATGTAGCTCATTCCAAATTTTTCACAGGGTGTATAGTGTACATCATTTATTATACAGTTCATGTAATTTCAGCAATCATGAATATGGTTGTTGAGAAAATCTTTTATGTTGAAGGTTTTTTCAAAATACTAATTTTCTATTCTTTTGTCTTCTAAAAGATTCCACATGAATTATTCTCTGAATCTGGTATTCCGTCCTCAGAAAGTACTGAGTTACCTGTTGACTGGAGTATTAAAACTCGACTCCTTTTTACTTCTTCTCAACCCTTTACCTGGGCAGATCATTTGAAAGCACAAGAAGAAGCTCAGGGTCTTGTCCAGCATTGTAGGGCAACGGGAGTTACTTTGCCTCAAAGTATACAGGTATATATAGTGGCTATTTTTTAAAGTAACAAGTTAAGTATGAAATGCTCTCCTCTGTAAAATAGCATTGTTTTCTTCCATCGAGTTTTTCTTCTGAATTTAAAGAAAAAGATTTGGGAGCTTTTGTTCTTTCCAAGTGGCATTATCATAGTGTGTGTGTGTGTGTGTGTGTGTTTCTTTCTTTGTAATCAGATCAAGTAACTACCCGTTATATTTAGAGACCTGTCCTAAAAAATTAGTCAGTATTGCAGGCAGGAATTGTTTATACTAAACCATTTTTTTCTAAGGCTTTCTGAGAAAGAAATACAAGGAAAAGAAATGAAAAACCGTTGAGTAGGATTGCAAGCATAGTTATTAATCTGCTTTTTATATGTCCTGAATCTTGCTATCTGTAATGATCTGTTGTAAATCTAATAGAGTTCATTAATTCTGGAATGATTTTAGAGAAATACAGATTTGTTACTTTGAAATAACTCAATCTATGTTAAAAAGAATTTCTTAAAAGAGGCTTTGGTATATCTTTTTAAATAACTTGGATTTTTGGTTCACGTTATCAGTGTTTACTGGCTACTTTTGAAATATGCTTTTGTTAGGGAGGGATATTGAATATGGTGTACCTACACACACACTCACACACATACACACTGCTACCCTTCTTAAAAAAATTATAGTTGTCATTTTTAAGGGTAGTAAAATCTTGTTTGTAAGTCTTCCTTCAAATACAAGTTTAACAAACTGTAGTTGCTGACCAGGAAATTTTCTAAAATAAACTACATTTTAGCTCCTATAACAGTTACTAATGCTCTCCTCTAGAAAGCAGTAAAGATGTTTAGACTAGGGCCAGCACGTGGCATGGTGGTTGGGGCACTGGACTCCCCACATGGCCAACTACAGTTTGAGTGCAAGACCTGACGGCTTGCTTTCTCACTTTCTCTGTCTCTGTGTCTCTCTCTGGTGAGTTTGTGTGCCCCATAGCAAGTTTAAAAATAATAAGTAAAATTAAATAATTCTTTAAAAAGATTCTTAGACCAAGTGTTGGGTATATTCAGTATCTCATTGATAAAATTTGTATTTTTCTCATGTGGACAAAAAACCACCCACTGTCATTTCTGGATTTTAGGATCCCAAACTGTCCACTGAGCTCCGTTGTGCCTTCCAGCAGAGCCTTATATATTGGCTCCACCCTGCCCTGTCTTGGCTACCATTGTTCCCTCGTATTGGAGCTGATAGGAAAATGGTTGGAAAATCAAGTCCTTGGTCAAATGATGAAACCCTGCAACACATTTTAATGAGTGACTGGTAAGATTAGTTGAAAAAACTTGTACAGTTCAGTAGAAAATTTTACTGTAGCAATATTCTCTCCTTATTGTTTTTGTGCTATGCACATATACAGTGGTGAAAGGATCTCTATATCTTTGAGTTTTAACTGAAACTTAAGCAATATTTAAACTGTTTAATTATTTGTAGTTCTTATTCTCTCTTTATCCAACTGTAGAATGTATATAACTGTTAAAATATATACAGAGAGACATAATTCTTTCTTTAAAAAAACTATTTACTTATTTAATTTTATTTATTTATTATTATTTGCTTAATTTGCTATAGGACCTGTGCACTCACTAGAGACAAAAGACAAAGGGAAAGCAAGCTGCCAAATCTGAGACTTGAACCATGGTTCGCCTTGTGGGAGTCCAGTGCCTTAATCACATATCATCTACTGGCCCTGAAAGACTTGATTCTTTAATGTTACTTTCTGTATTTGGCTGCTGCTTTTCTCATCAACAGAAGTTATTAAGTTTTATTTAGAGAAAAAATGGTTAGTGTTTAAGTGACAAACACTATTTGTTAAGGTATTGAGTAGCCATGAACAAGTCCCTATTACCAGTTTTACTCCTTTAAAGCCAAGTTTTATGTAACTACAAAAATGCAAACCAGGGTCTGAAATATGTGTACTAAGTTTTAAACCAGGTAGATATTCAGCTGAGTTAAACAAAATTAAATTGTAAATATTGAGTTAAGTGTTTAAAATACCTAAAGGAAACTTTTTGTTTCATAGGTCTGTGAGCTTTACTTCACTGTATAATCTGCTAAAGACAAAACTTTGCCCCTATTTCTACGTTTGTACATACCAGTTTACTGTCCTGTTCCGAGCAGCAGGGTTAGCAGGAAATGACATGATCACAGCTCTTGTATCTCCTACAACTAGAGGCTTAAGAGAAGCTATGAAAAATGAAGGTAAAAGTTTAACATGAGGATACCATATTTTATGTAGTAAGCATAAACCTTAAAAATTAAAAACTAAAATTGGGGGGCTGGATAGTGGTACAGTGGTAAAACAATGCTCTGTGTGCGACCTGCATGGGAAGTTTCCAGATGGGCCCATGATCCAGGGCTGTCTGAGGCTAGGGGTGGATCACAGCATCAAGACCCTGTTGGGGTTTCATTCTCTCCCTTCCTTCCTCTTACCCTCATGTCTCTTACCCTCATGGCAGCAGTAACTTGAAAGAGGGGGAGGCTAAAATTTGAGTTGTCTTTTACTAGTTGATAACCAGTTCTTTTTCTTTATTCATAATAGAGTAGGTACACACACATGTTAGAAAGAAAGATGACCACTTTCCACAGGTTTTATTCATACCACAATCCTCTTCCAATCTTCCACTTTCTCAGATCTTAAGTACTCACGTGCAAGCCTGGCCATTTCAGGCTGTCCTGGCCAGAGATTTGAATCAGTTGCTATATGGGATCCATCTTCCCTTGAATAGCGCATTATGTTACCTCTGCCACAGAACAGGCACTCATTACTTACATTATTTTATCATAGGGTGGGTGCCACCACGCCCCACTTACACTATTTTATGAAATGTCTTTCTTCATGTCGAGGGGAAGGAAGGGCGTTCTGCAATTATTTAAGCTATTACATATGTAACTTTAAGTGAATGATACTTTTTTCTCTGACCCATAAAGTAAAATACGTATTGGGCCAGATAGTCACTATTTGAATATGCTCTTTCAGAAATTCTTGTATAGTACAAGTTACCTACCTCCTCAATATCATGATTTTCAAACTGAGTCACCCAATTAATGGATCATGAAAACTATTTAGTGGGCCTAGTCAACACTTTTTGAAGAAGTGAACTGTAATATAGTATAAGTTATAAAAGACTGTCACATGTAGTGAGAGTATGCATTATTTCCTAAACCTTTTGTTTCAAGGAGAGGTGTGTGCATCTGTTGTGATCTGCATCAAGAAAGCTTGAAAACTACTACCTTAATTAATAGAGTGTAAAAACAGTACATATTTTATACACTAATAGGATATACCTGTAAAATATTTTTTAGCTTAAGACTCAATTACATCTTTCTTTTTTCACATAGGTATTGAATATTTTCTACCTTTAATAAAAGAAAATGGCCATAAGAAGAAAACATCTGGAATAAGCTTGGGACATGGGGAGTATGTAATTAAAATAACCTTTTACATTGTTGAGTGACTTATAGACTCGGTGAAATAGATTTGTAGATTTAACACTTCTGTGAAATGGGAATTCTAACTAAACCAATTTCTTAGGGAACAATCATTCAGTGACGAAGATGAAGAAGAAAGTTTTAACTGGCTGGAAGAGATGGGTGTGCAAGATAAAATTAAAAAGCCAGATATACACTCCATTAAGCTGTATCCTTTCAGTTGCTATGAATTAGAATTCATTTTCATTAAATCGCTAGCAAGCAATTTAACAATGACTGGCAGTTTTATATGATTTTAATCTTTTTTTTTTTTTTTTAATTCTTCCATTAGCAAGGGGGAGAGAGAGCACCTCAACAGGGTCTTAACACCATGATCCAACCCTAGTTTCAGCCAGGCCCACTCAGACCAATGGCACACAAACACGCATGATACTCAGAGAGGTCTCCAAGCATAAACCTGGAACTTTATGTGAGTCAGCCTCCCAGAGTGTAAATCTTAGAGCTAAGTCACCATTCACCCTCTGGGTGCCACAGGGCACATGAGTTCACCATAGAGGGAGAGGGAGAAAGATGACTACCTCACCCCAAGTGGTGCATGATTATGCCACAGTTCTTTTCCTTCCATTTCTCCATCCCATCAAGATTTGGGACATGCACATACCCACCTGGTGTGTTTTTCAGAACTACTGGGGCTGGAATTCTGTGGTCAGCCAAATAGGATCCAGCACCCTATGCATAGCCCTTAAACAGTGTGTTACCATCAGCACTTCCTCTATCCTTGAATATAATATTAGGTTATCTTCATATCATACTAAAACTAATTACAAACCTGTAAGTATCGAAATCATGGATTATTGGACTATTTTTAAATGAAAACATTCCATTTTTGTTAAAGTTTGTTGGAGAATGTTTTTTTACTAGAAAAAAATTTTTTAGACGTGAATTATTTTTTAAGTTTATTAATTTTGTAGAGAGAGGCAACCCCAATAGGATCTTATCCAGCCCCTCCTCACTCTTCCCTTCACCACTGTCTCATAGAAATAAACATGCAAAAAAGCCCATTATGCTCAGGAAGGTCTCAGGACTCAAATCTAGGACCTTCCCCATGTAGATCTAGTTTCATTACCACTGCTCCACCACTTGGCCCCCACATTGTCAGTCTTACATTTTTTAAAGAATTACTTAATTTTACTTGTTCATTTCCAGATTTGTTACAGAGCATGTGTACTTACCAGAGAAACAGACAGACGGTTGAGGGACAGGTAGTAAGAAAGCATGCCACCTAATCTGGGACCCGAGCCACGGTCTGCCACATGGGAGTCCAGTGCCTTAATCACAACACCTGCTGGCCCCCAACCATTTCATTTAAAAATATACCTTATGATTACAGTGAACATGGCGGTTTAGCAAGGGTAGATCTATTTTGTTACAGAAGAAAAGTGTCCCAAGTAATTCAGAATAAAAATAACAGCTTTCCCCGTTAGTATGGGATTTGCCTTTGCAATTTCCTTGATTGTCATTTTCAGGCGTAAAGAGAAACATGAAGTACAAATGGATCACAGACCTGAGTCTGTTGTGTTGGTGAAAGGAAATAACACCTTCACATTGCTCAATTTTTTGATCAACTGTAAAAGTCTAGTTGCTACTTCAGGTCCACAGGCAGGACTTCCACCAACCCTCTTATCCCCTGTAGCTTTCCGAGGTGCCACAATGCAAATGCTAAAGGTAACAAGAAAAATTATATACTCACCAATCCCTATACCTAGCTTTTAAGTAGTACTTTGCTCTTCTTTGATAGGATAAGTTTTTGATTTTTGAAGATAACTCAGGACTTTTACTTGACAGTTTTTGTGGGTTTGTTTATTTTGGCTTTCCTCCTAGTTAAAAAGTCTGATTTAAAATAGTTACACAAGGAGTCTTGAAAAATTTCATAGGAGGGCCAGCAGGTGGTGTGAAGGTGCTAGACTCCCATGGGGTTGAAGTCCCGGTGGGTACCTGGTGGCTGGCTTTCTTGCGTTGTCTTTTTCTCCCTCTCTCTACCCCTCTGGTGAGCACACATGCCATATAGCAAATTTTAAAATAATAAAATTAATCTTTTTTAAAATTTGTATATTTCATAATAAAGGTGTATTATGAAAAAACTGCATGGAACTCACATTTTAATTATATTTTCCATAAAACTTTAGACATTTTTGCTATGGGGCACATGAGCTTGCTAGAGACACAGATATCACCCCCAAGGGGATGGTCACCCCACATCCCCTTCATTCTTCTCCCAGAATCTTGTGCACACAAGCACACACAACCAGCATGTTTTTTGGTTTGTTTTTTTTTTTTTTAAGAATTTATTTATTTATTTTATTTGACTAGAGAGGGACAGAGTGAGAAAGTAAGAAAGCAAGCCGCCAGTCCACAGACTCTAACCACGGTCTACCACATGGGAGTCCGGGGCCCTTAACTACCATGCCACCTGCCGCCTCCCCCCCCCCCCAGCGTGATTTTCAAGCTGCGAGGTCTGGGACTTGAACCTTGTTTAGCCAGGTGGGAGTCCAGCACCTTAACCACTGTGCCACCTGCTGCCCCTTTTTAAATTTTTGCTATACCCCATGTGCGCTCACCAGAGACACAGAGGGAGGGAAAATATGAAAGCACCTCACATGTGGAATGACCAGGCTACAATCCTTTCTTCGTTCTCCTTTCATGTACATACACATAGCATGTCATTAAGCCACAGCCACTCAGTTGGCCATGTGGGATCCAGCCTCCTTAACTTCCAAACCATCTACAGGCCCCTCCATGAACTTTTAAAAGCACCCTTAAAGCAGATTACGTTAAAATGCGTGGATTTTTTATTTGGGTTATATGAAAATTTAAGTGTAATTGGCAACATGGTTTGTTAATTCCTTTTTTTGCCTTTTAAGGAAAAGCTGCTTAAACTCATTTTGTTTCCTATCTTCAATGAAAGGACATAGCCAAGAATGTTACAATGTTATGTGTCAAAAACTGGATCATAGATAAGTATTTGTATAGCTTATGTAGTGGGAAAAAATTACACTTGTACATACAAAATATATACTTAGTGTTAGGACTTATTTTCCCAATATTGACAGTATATTACTAAATCATAGGCTATATGAAAAAAATTATAGATTCCTTAGAAATTGAAAATCTCATGATACTGAAAATTAAACATTTTTATTAATAACATTGTTGTGATGTCTTAGCATCTGTTTTTAAATCCCCAGATAAAAAGGTATTTGAACATTTTTACTAGGGGACAAAAGCTTGGAAGGTAGTGATTGTAAATTTTTTTTTTCCCTAAAGGCACGAAGTGTAAATGTGAAGACCCAAGCATTTTCTGGATATAAAGATCAATTTAGTTTGGAGATTACAGGCCCTGTCATGCCTCATTCTCTACATTCTGTGGCTATGCTGCTCAGATCTTCACAGAATGGGTCTTTCTCTGCAGGACTATATCCACATGAGCCAACTGCTGTATTTAATATCTGCCTGCCAATGAGTAAAAAACTGGATAAGGTAAGTAAACACCTATAAACCATTTAGTTCGAGCTAGTGCCATCAAACTAACTGGAGGAAATGTCAGTTATGATGAGCCAAATTTGTTTCAAGTTGTAAAACTTAGTAATTCAAGGAGGAAAGAATTGTCTATGTAAGTTATATTTGAGGTGAATTAAGGCTGTTTGAACAGCTTCCTTCTCATTTTCTCAAATTCAGTACTTAATGCTGCTTGATTCCTTTAGTTTATAAAAACACAATTCACTGTGGACATTTATTTAACCATGTATTTGCTTTTCATTTTGAATATTCAGACTTTAAGGTTATAATAATAATAATAAAGTCCTTTGAAATTGCCTCATTTTTTTCCTGCTAGACTTAAAAATGGCCATATTTCAGGATTTTGTCACTGCAAAGTTATGAATTACATGACTGCACCATTTGTCTCTGGTAATTGTTAATTAAAACTGTTAAGTGTTCAAAGAACATGTGCTTTTTACTGACTTTGTATACAAATTTCCACAGGAGGTTATTCATAAGGAACTTGCTAACTGTGGGTTGCACCCTAAGACTCTGGACCAACTTAGTCAAATACCATTACTGGGGAAGTCATCTTTACGGAATGTGGAAATGAGTGACTACATTTATAGATGGAGCCTGATACCAAAGTAAGCCTAAAAGGAATCTTTGAGGAAAAAAGCCTTCTAGCAAGGAAATTGAAGATTCTTATACCTTTGGTTTTAAAGTTCATTTTGGAAGTTAATGGATTATACTTTAAAAATATCAAAATGTTTATAAGCACCAACTTTTTCCACTTTTAGTACATGCACCAAGCAACAGCATTAAAATTTTTAAGTCAGTATTTTTTACTATTTTCAGATTAGGTTTTTAGATATGAAGCTTTATTTTAAAAACCTCAAACCTCAAATGAGAAGTCTGTAACTCCACAACTACTAGTAAAGAGTAAAATACTGAATTAATATGTTTTCTTACAAAATGAGAAATTGAGACTAAATCTGTAGTAATTATCTCATGGCACTGTTGACTAATGGCATAACAGGACAAATTTGAACAATTTACAAATTACTTTATAAAGGTAGAAAATAAAGGGAGACGATACCTACTGAGCTGTTGATGCTTCTACTTTAAATAATTTTATACTAATTTTCAGTTACTATATTGTTTTTTAATGCATGTTAAGTAATCTAGATAAAAGGGTGTTTTGTATTCCATATAGAACAGTGTTGAGTTGTAAAATATGCTATCATGGCAGACTAGCATTTAACATGCTTATAGGGGTGTGTGTGTGTGTGTGTGTGTGTGTGTGTGTGCGCGCACATGCATGTGTATAATTCAATTTTTAAAAAAATAAAGGTGCTTAGAAATCAAAAGCCTTGGGTATAGAAATAATAGCATTTAGTGAATAAGTATGTGTTCACTTTATAATCCAGAAAATAAAACAACACATTTGTTCCAGAGAAGTTTGTATTTGGGCCTTACGCTTTTGAAAATAAAGTTTAGAGACACAGCATATGAATACCACTGTAATACACATGAAATATTCTATCAGCCCCTAAAAATTAACATAAACTTTCTCATAGTCAACAAAATAGTGGCTGGTTGCCAATTTTATTAGATAAGTTGGTTACAGCATTTTAATTATTTTACGTCTATCTAGGTGTAGCTGAAATTCAAAATGCACATCAAAGTAAAACTATATCACAACTCAATGCCATACTAAATGTACTTGGCCTCTGCAGTAGAATTCTAGTTAGACTTCAATTTGACTCCCTTCTTATGACCAAAGTGGCTTCAACGGGAACATAGGACTTAAGTGATCATCACACAACATACCATTTTCTTTTTATAACCTCTACAAAATGTTGAGGGGAGATGGTGGCATTACCCCTGTGGAACAGATCTTGCGTGATTACCTCAATAACACTGGCCCAGTATCTGTCCAGCAGAACCCATTGTGAAATTGTACAAGGTGCACAGCCCTTCACTGATTACAGGCAAGTGTTACAGCAGCCTAGCCATAAGGAAGGGGAATTACATCATAGTACAAAATACAGTATAAAAGCATTATTTAACATTCCACACTGAAGATTACTGATGCCTTCAAACAATCGTTTGGATGTTAGCCACTTAAACAAGTACATCACTAAGGTAAACAATATAAACATACCAAAACCCTGTATGGTTAAATACAATTTCCATGGTACAAAAATCAAAGCCTGGAGATGTTTGTACAGATTGCTTTTTACACAATGTCTTAAATTGCCAAATATTTACAACATTAAAGGGGAAATACATTGTGATGCAGAGTAAAATTATCTGAAATGATTAATATAAAACCTCAATCTATCTACGTGAGGCACTCCTGAAGCAAGTGGCATTAGCCATGAGGTCCTTTGGTACAAGGCCCATTGCTTGAAGAACCACAGTAGCTGCTGTGGCTTTAGCATGCTTCTTATTAGGGCTGGCAAAGCTGGGCTGGTAAGCGCTTCCATTTATCAATACCTATTCAAGAAAAACATACAATTGGGCTGGTAAGGGCTTCCATTTCTCAATACCTATTCAAGAAAAACATACAATAAGAACAGCATCAAACTTTAATATCTATTAGCTTTGTATTTTTTCACTAAATGCTAGAATATACAAAAATATAAAACCCATACTATTTAACTCAAATTAATCTCAACCCAGAAGAAGCAAGTCATATGAGAAAAGGGCCTGCAAATTAAGAGCAGGTCTCAAATTTTTAATAAATTTTGCCCATTACCTTTCCCTCTAATTTTAAACCAGAATATTCACACACCATATAAAAGCCCGTTAGTGTTTTAAAACCCCTTCAATGTTTAAAAACCCCACCACTCTACACACATATACCATACCCTTAACCCACAAACAGGATATTAAAGTCCTGTAATCTATAATGCCTATCCCTCACCCTCTACCATTAAATGATCAAATTAGTAAATATATACAATTAATGCAGAAATTCATATTTACCCTAAAGAGAAAATGTTTGCGATGGTCAGGGCCACTATCATGGACCAAGAGAAATTCAGGTGGTTGCCACCTTCTCTTATTACAGATTTCCATCAAGGCAGACACAGGATGTTTGCCTGCAGAGAAAAAAAAACAACCAGTTATATACATTATTTTCACCAAGGTTTGCAACAAAGTAGGAATTCAAGATAGAAATGGGAGAGAAAATTCAAAACTGCTCTTACCTGATAGATCTTTCATCGCGGCAGAGAAGTTTCCAGACCTTTTTTGTGCTCTTTCTCCTACTGCAACAAGACCTTTAAAAAAAGAAAACAAAAGTCAATGTTCTCTAGTAAATTTTTAAAATCATTTAATATATAAAGACTCCACCTACAGAAGCCTAAACTTCAAAGCATACCTTCAAGTTAATAAACAGATTCCTACTACACTTACTCCTATATCAATCTCAACTTTTCTTTTTTGCAGTAATTTCAACATAGAAATCTTCATTTCATATTTGCATTAAATTTGTATTCATATACCTTGGTATTAGAATTATATAAATATCAAAAAAACACAAGAATATATAAATAAACATACCTACTTATCATATAATTATCAGTATCTCTAGGTTTATTTATAATTTAAATAGTGGCTATTTATTATAAATGAGTTCCACAGATTTCCTTTACTTTAAATAATGATAGTTATAGCATGTTCAAAAAAATGCTTATTAGGATTTTAAGCCACCACTGTTACCTACCCCCCATCAAAAGAAAGAACCCATGAAAAGGGCAATGGTCTCCAAGAATACAGGCCCCTTTTCCTACCAAATGTTCTTTTTCTGACCTAACGAATCAGACATTCTCTAAAGATAAATATTTCTCCACAGGTTTATTACAAAGAAGATTAATTAGCCGTATTACTGATACAAAACAATACTTCCCAAATTTCCCATGTACATGGGGGAGGGGGATCTTCAAAAAGCTCAGAGAAAACACATGAAAAACCTATTAACTTCAAAAAATTTTGTACCACAATGTACTTGTATTTTAAACTCATTTTTCCATGAACTTTCTGGAGCCCCTTTGTATCAACCATTCATTTGATAATTTTATGCTAGTATAATAAGCTTTCCCAAACATGTCCTGGGAAAGGTGCTACTATCTGAGAACTTAAGCCCAGATTGTGTTGCATAATTCCAAAGACATTGTTCCCTGGAATTACATATAAATACAAATGTTTAAAGATACCAATGGGCTATTATAACTAACTAACTAGACTACATAGCTCTTCCCCTCCCCACCCCAAGACAGCAGCAGTAAAATACAGCCAGTAAGAAAAATTCTAAGGTGCCCTAACACAAAGCAATATGAAAGGTGGCACTGCCAGCTGCCGGTCTATCCCCACCCAGCACAACTCTACTGAGGGTGAAAATAAAGAGACAAATATTTAAAAAGCTTATAAGGAAAATGCATTAAAATATCTGAGCAAAAAATAAGTCAATTCCTAGACATAAAGGGAAGCATATGGTCTCTCCTCTCAAGAGAAAATATAAATTCCATTTTCTAAAACATGAGTACAAGTTGAAGTGAATTAAATCTGTTATCATGTAATTGAGATATATGCACATTTCTATTAATATTTAGTAACTAGCATGACGAAAGTCCTTTTAAAAGTTTTGTTTCCCATCTATACTTATATAAAAATGAGCTGCCATGCGTGAAAATGTGTTAAAGCTTTTTCTGAAGAATAGCTGCACATATAGTATAAGTGCCTCCCCGGTTCAGGATTACTGGGAACAAAAGAATATATGAAAGGAAATAAGACTCAAATTGTTAAAGAAGCTAGTATAGAAATCCCAGAGGACTTGTTACCTTTTCGGTCTGTCTTAAAATCAACTAAGATGGGTTCCTTATTTCCTTCTTTGTTTTTTCCTAATCCTTCTCCTTCTCTCCAGCCCATTTTTCTCATCAAAACGGCTCCCATTCCTCCAGTTACCGGGGCTGCTCTTAAGAACTGATCCTATCCAAAGAAAGAAAGGTAAAATGTCCCCATTTTACAGTTAGAACTTGACTACAAACTCAGTGGTAACTTTTTAAAAAGAGAAATTATTTTACTTCTAGATCTGTTACAGCAATAAATTTAAATGCTTCTATACTTAATTCATACCATAGTATATGTATTTTCTAGTTATTTTCACATTAATATAGAATTTGAAAGTCAAATAAGGCAAGTAAGTAGCAGTTTTAAAACAGTGGCCCTTGTACCCCCCCTCCAAAAAAAATTAGAACACTCCTGTTTCCGTCCACTATTTAGGTTCACTGGTATCTCTTCTTAGCTTGCAAAATAAAAAGAAGGCAATGTTAAAACAGTCAATTATATTAATAATCCCAGGTGTACCTAGTATATGAATAAAGCCCAGAAATCATTTAGAAATAAGTAGTTTGGACAATGAAGAAGCATACTGTTGTCATCCAAAGTTTTCTTCCCCATTCTACTATAAAGCAAGTATAAATAATTTACTTAGAAAATCCCTATGAAGCAAAAAAAAATTCTTTAAAACAAATGTACACAATAAGTAAAAGACAGTCACATAAAATACCCTGAAAGTATACCACAATGAAACTGAATTCTTTAAAAACCTAGCTTGATGTTAAAAGACTTAAAAAACTCCTTAAATGTTTACATACCTAGGCCTCGGTAGCAGCAGTGTTGTGAATAGTACGGCTGGCACTGACCGGGGCAAGAAGACAGCTACAAGGATTTGGCCCTGAAACAAGTTTCCATACAGAGGGGTGAAAGTTCACAGGTTATTCTGTGAACAATCATCTCTCTTGTATCCAACCCACTGAACCATAATTTCCATCAAAGCAGCAAACCACTTAATGTCCTAAGATGCACAGCTATATACATAGCATATCAATAATCAATTATTTTCACATGTTAAGAAATAGCCAGTGCCTCTTTTTAAAGGGCATCCATGTATATTTAACAAACAGTATCAAATTTTACTGTTGCTCTTTATGGCCAGTTTCAAAAAAATTTTGAAACATTTCCAAATTATACCATATTTCCCCCTTGTTATTAAATTTTACATTTATACTATCTAGAAAATATACAGCAAAAACCATTAACTTATCAACAGAGGGAACCAAAATTTTGGGTGGCTTAGAAAATATTATGCATTATCATTTCCTATATTGATAAGTTAATGCTAAGAGTAAAAATGTTTTTTACACAGTAGTAAAACTGTATTATCTTGCTTCCCAGCTTTATAATTAAATGCTGGGGAGAAAACATGCCAATGACAGTGTAACTAGACATTAAGTTCAACAAGGTGCTCTGATGGAAGGAGGCAGCTGTGGAGGTAAAAACATACCCCTGGTTCAGTTCCTTATTTGGTGCAGGCCATGCAGTGTAGATGTATAGAGAGGAAAGTTAGCTGATGCTTGGATAATCAACTGCCTTGATGCTACACACCTAGAATGACTTTACTTACTTTCAAGGTTCATCCGCCCCTCTTTTCCAGGAAACACTCCTAAAAAAAAGGGCAACTGTGCAGAGTACAATATACATCCCCAAGTAATCCAGGTTTTCAATTTTTTGCATTCTATAGTAACTCAATCTGTTTCTTTACTGCAGAGTGTATGCAATTCACAATAAAGCTAATCTAACCACAGTAATATTTATCAGGTCATGTCCAAATCACTTCATTCCAAAAAATGAAGGTTCTTTTAATC